GCTGAGACTGGGCTTTTCCATCTGATAAACGCATTTGGGGACTCATCCCTTGTTCTCTTTTAATGCTAGATTTTTGGTGTCAATGGAAATTCCGTCGATCAAATGCACGGAAGTAGGAGCAAGACAAGACGAAACAAGTTGTCAACAAGCTTACAGGAAAATCAGGTTCAGTTAGTTTCTACAATGCAATATACATTCAAAATCTATCCTTCTTCAGGCGGCAGTGGTTCAGAGAAGGCCTAGCTTATATAATTGTTTACTTCGAACTGACGGACTAGTTTCGGTTGGGGTTCAACGATTACAGACAACTGCAGCAAGTGAATGGAAAACCTAAAAATCTGAAAACACCTAGAGAGAAACGCTCGGTTACTTCTTCCAAAATACCGCTAACCTGGACAGTGCAGACAGCATGTATGCTGTTAGATTATAGCCTAACAGAGTCACTCATTTACAATTTACAGGACGTTGTAGAAGTGAACGTTTCTTCAAATGATATCAGCGGATGGTTCGCGTTGTTAGAGGAAGGAATACACTGAAAGTAATGTAATAATTGACAAAAACGTGCACGATCTCGAAATCAAGGCAAATAAATGTATTGGCTAACTAAATACATCAGGTCTGGTGCTTGTACATTGATCTCCACTTTCCTACTCGGTTTGTCGCCCTTACAACTACGGCTGGAGTCCATAGGTTCGACTGCACTCTTTCAGTGCTTCGGAGAATCCAGTACATAGTGTGATATCATTTTGAGTCTGCGTGCAACGGATGAGTTCATCGATGTGATATTGACAAGGGTTTTGCTGATATTGAGCAGGCTGAGCAGCCATCTGCTGTGTGGCCGGTTGTTGAACAGCCGGTTGTCCTCCACTTCCTGATAGCGCTCCAGTTATAGCAGAGCCGACAACATGACCGACAGCCACACCGCCAGCAGTGGCGGCCATCTGTCCCATTAGTCCAGGTTGTCTCGGAGGAGGAGGGTGCGCTGGCATAGATGGCGGTGGTGGAGGGGGCCGCGCTGGGAGGGTCGTTCGTGGGGGTGGGCTTCCATACCTGTAAGTTAACAGATTAGGAATTGTAGTGAACGGGACGAACCTGCGGCGCGGCATCACGCGGGCGAACAACAAGTTTGAATGACCTTCTAAAGTCGCCGACTAGAACACGACTCAATAATTCTATCAGATTAGTTCAAAATCCTATACAATATCGTAAATGAGTACTAATCCACATTTTACGTACTAGCATTGCAGTTTTAATTGTAACCAGAACATGCGTTCCCGTCATGAATAGACCTTAACTGCGCTACACCGGTTCACGGATTCACGGGCTTCAGAAATGAAGTTTTCGAGCATCCCGGGTTCTGTTAGTAGGTTTACTGCTCGGTGACGGATGGAGGTCCTCGGAGTAGTTGTCTGTTATTCTGTATTCCATGTTGTCTAGAACGGGAGACAACAGGAGTGCTACTGTCCAATGTCCAATGTCCAGTTTACGGGCGGAGAAAGCTCGTTGGCTTGTAGTTTTGCCT